TGATAAAGTTGGATTTAAATTGATAACGCTATCCTGAAAAGGTAATACCATGTTTGAAATAAAATTATAACAGTTATTATTTTTATTAACTTAACAAAAAAAATTGTTTATAAGATTTCTTTAGTAATGTTTGAAATTTAAAAAAACTATTATTTCAATAATAGTACTTGATTTGATTTGTATCTATTATTATACTATTCTAAGAGAAAATAACATTATTTTATTTATAAAAAAACATAAAGTCCGTGGATTTTTTATATAAAGGATAGTATAATAAGTTTAAGAGGTAATTAGTTATAAAACATTGAATGCGTATTTATATGCAATTATATGTACTTCTGTATGGACTTGTTGCACATATTAATATATGCACGAATATGTGTTTACATGCAAACTTTTACGTAGACAGAAAGAAAAGGTTTGATTTTGTTACAAAATCAGACTTGCTAATTTTGTTTTCTCGACGTTTTAAATTATTCTGAAACGTTTGAGACTCAATTTGGATAAAGTATGTTTGTGTGTATGTGAGCCGATGTTTGACGTTTATTAGCAGAAAAGTGTACAATATTTTGTCCACGTTGACTTGTTTTTATGTCATTTTTTTCATACATTAATGCAAACTATAAGTAATGCAAATTAAGTACATAATGTCTTTTATAATATAAATTTTTATCATGAATCAACGTAAACTACATTTATCATAATTCAAATAAAAAATATAGTGTTAATGTAACACAATTTACATGTGCCCACATCTTACAAATTTTACATTACTTTATATATAAAAATGGAGCTCGATAAAATGTTAGGTATGCTAATGCTCTTAAATGGCTGTACGGATTTGGCCAGTCTTAGTTTTGAAAAATTTGTGCTAATCCAGAGATTGAGGAAAAGGTGAAATATTATTTCAAAACTGCGAAGAAACTTTACATTTTTATTTTGAAAATTTTTGTAGAAGCGTAATTTAAATGAAACAATCGGCACATACGTCAAAAGTTTTGGGCAGATTATGTTCAATTAAATTCAATAGTATGTAGTTTTATTTATACTTATAAAACACTAAACGGGTCGCAAGTGTTATTAGAAACTCAAAACATCAACTTTTTCGAAATGTTAATATGAAATTAAACTTTTTGGCTTTATGGAACTTTTTCTTTGCAAACCTTTTTTTTTTGTTCAAAGTCGGTACTCTTGAAGAACTTATTTGTATAATTTTTACACAATTGCATTCATTAAATATTTCTTATATTATATTATTAGTTTTATCTAGGTTGTTCAAATTAAGATCCTAAACTTCGAATGAATTGAAAGGGACATTGTCGAATAACTTATTTCAAGTTATAACAGTCAACAATTTAAATAAGAAGTTTGGCATAAAACTCGTATTCTATCAAATATATCCAGTTCCAGTATTAGAATAAGTTTAGCAGAAAAATTATTGACTATGTTTATATTTTTGAGGCTTGACAAATGTCCTTTAATTTGGAAGGAAATCCTTACAAACGACATGCCAAATTTTATGCATTTTAGACACAGTCAGGCAACGTTCATGTTTCATTAAATTACTCTACAAATTAAAAAATATAAAAATCTTTAGCTCTGGAAGTTTGTATTAAATTAAACCATTTGATAATGCAATGTGAAATATAATTCATTAATGGTTTTTCACTCATTTGAAAGAGGCAAAGGCAAAATTTTCTATGAATTTATCGAAGAATGGATGGTTATATATGAAGGTTCGAGGTTAAAAAGGTCCACCACCGATATCTCAAAAACCAGTCAAGTTAAGAATTGTTCCCTGACACTTCATTCCTGTCAGATATACTAACTCAATTATTTCGTTTTAAACTTTGAAGGACAATTAGGCAGTATTCGTTCAGACGTTGAGCTGTTAACATCAGTGAATAAATAATAACCATTACATAAATATCAAAAAGTACTAATATTTTTTCTACCTGTCTAGTGACCTGTGTTAATGACTGCATTGTGTACAAATAGATACCGTTAAACACGTGTCCCCTTGCCGGGGGCACGCAGTGTCGTATAAACATTGTGTATTTTATATTAATATAAGTGGTAATTAAGTAAATTAACCGCATTTTTGTTGTGCTAATTAAATTAATGTCTTTATGGAGTCCGATACCGGACAATTAAAGGGCCGTCCGCTCGATAAAAATCCTCCTACATGTTCGGAAATTGGCGTGACTATTGCAAATGCAATGAATGTGTACTATGTCGGAAATGAAAATAATACAGATTTACGTAATTCAAATAATGAGGAGAGCATAATAAGAAGCGAACATATTTCAATGCAAATTAATAGTGCTGAAACGGTGATTGAAGAGTCAATTCGAATTGAAGATTCGATTAATATGGATAATGTGTGTGACAAAAGCAATGAAGCACAAAATTTTGAAATGACTGAGCAAGTACCTAGTGATGAGAATTCTAGTCGTAATAACGTTGATGAAATTCATCTACCGAATCGTTTTGATATGTGTGATACTGGACCTTTTTACATTTACGTAGAATCTTTAAGTAAAAACATTGGACGTTTACACCCTATAGCTCTCGGAAAATTACTACACAGATCACGATCGATTCTGAAAGAAGATTTGTTGGAGATTATCGTGATTGGTAACAATCAAGTCAAACTAGTTCTTAGGAACGGTAAAACAGCAAATAGCCTGCTTGACGATAGTTTTTTTACTGATAATAAATTGAAAGCTTACATTCCTAAATACCTATTAATTAGGAAGGTATAATCTTTGATGTAGACATTAATCTCACGGCAGAAGAAATAATAGAAGAGATAGAATCAGTTATTCCGATAATAGATGTAAAGTGTTTTGTACCAAAAAACATCAACAAGCGCAGAATTAACTCGCAATGCGTGAAATTATCTTTCAGAGGTTCAATTCTGCCGGATAAGGTAGGTATACATTCTGTTAAATGCCCAGTCAGCCCATTTATTAAGAAGACTATCCAATGCCACAAATGTTGGCGTTTTGGCCACGTTCGGGAAAAATGCCGGAACGACCTAACGTGTCCCAAATGTGCAGGTCCTTATATTAAAGACGTATGTTTAGAAGATACCAACTATCTATGCTGCTTGTGCAAAGATAACCACGAGGCTTATAATAAAGAGTGCAAGATCTATAAAAGATATAAAAATATTAATGAAGTAATGGCAACACAGAATTTATCTTTATACGAAGCAAAAAAAATCTTTGATAACGATAAATACTCGAGAACAGTTATAGTTAACCTTAGCAGCTTGAATAAAGATAAAGATTTCCCTCCAATGAAAATCAAGAACTCTAACCAGAGTGGCGCTTTAATAAACAATAAATTCATGGTCCTATCGGACCTGGAAGAGGAGGAAGACCAAGGTTATGTTGCGAACTTCAAGACATTTAATAAACCTGAAAGGATTCATGTTCTACCCTCAACCAAGAGAGAAAAGAATGGGGCTGTAATCGGACATAGCATGAAACCTGTTTGTAAAGAAAATATGACTGACAAGGGAAATTTTATAAACCCTAGAAAAGATTAAAAAACAAATCAGATTCCGATTCAGAAAATGAAGTAAAATCCAATAGAAGAAGTGAAGATCCTAACGCATCAGGTGGCCTATTATCATTTCTTTAGGCTGCTAAAGGACATCTATAATCCTAATGATCCCGTATTGAAAAACTTGTTAAGTGATGTTTTTCTCAAAATGGTAAAAATTAAACACAAAATAGATCCTGCAAGTTTAAAAAAAAAATCTAATAAGGATTTACCTGTGAGTTCAGAAAAATAAATCAATCAGTACTCCTTTCATTATGAAACAAATAAACATTTTACAATATAACTGTAGATCAATGTTAACAAACAAGAGTAGTATTGAACATTATCTGTGGTCTCATAAAATTCATGTGGCAGGTCTGTCCGAAACCTGGCTTAAAGAAGGTCACAAATACTTCATCAAAGGTTATCGGTTTTTCCGAGAAGACAGAGTTGACGGTTATGGCGGTACTGCCATTCTAGTCAAAGACAACATATTATGTGAGAAAATTAACCACCCATTCCAGTGCCATCTTATCCAAATGTGTGCAGTGATTTTAAAATTAGAAAACCCGGTATGTATCATTTCAATCTATTGTGCGCCGAACTCTAAGGAATATTTCAAGAATATTAAAGATTTAATTGAAACTATCTCCATGCCAATACTCATAATAGGGGATTTTAACTGCAAAAATTTAGCTTGGGGCAGTGCCTCCATTGACAGAGGAGGCGAGATTCTATACAACATAATTGAAGACCTAAACCTCACCATAATGAATGATGGAAGACCAACCACTATCAGCACGGCAAGTAGGAAAGGTACGCCAATAGATCTTACTCTTTGTTCCAATAATCTATGTGACAAAATCCAGTGGGACATTTATGCGGGCAGCTTAGGATCTGATCATTTGCCGATTAACATTACATTAAAGACTAACTTTGATGTAAAAGATTATATATATCCCTCCAGAAAATGGAATACCAAAGAGGCCAATTGGAAGAATTACGCATGGAAAATAGAAGATAAGCTGAAAAATGTTGTACTCCATGAGGATCATAAGTCTGAATATGCTGTCATTATCGAGATTTTGAACGAAGCAGCTGGCAAACACTTCCGGGAACGTAAAACAGTGGCAATTTAGCAATTCAAACCCGCTATCTGGTGGGACGAAGAATGCGAAATCCAGATCAGGCAAAGAAAAATAGCGTACAAAAAGATGGTTGACGAGTTTACTTATAACAATTTTATTGAGTATCGAAAAATAAATGCTATTACAAAAAAAATTCTCAAATCCAAAAAGAGAAAAGTGTGAATGGATTTTACAAACTCACTCAATAGTAATATTAATACATCAAAGCTTTGGAATATAGTTAAAATTTTTAACAACAAAAATAATAGAAACTCATTTAAGCCTCCAGTCGGTAGCTCTTTCTTCGAAGACATGCTAAAAATGTTCGTTCCAGACTTTGTCTCCAATGAAATCAATCTGAATTTTGCAAATAATCTCGAAAGAGGTCCTGATGACGTAAACTCTCCCATCAGACTATACGAATTAGATAATATATTGAAAAATAAAAAAGACAGCATGCCAGGTATGGATAATATCTCATACATTATGCTAAAGAAGAGCCCCATAGCATTAAAATGTTTAATCATAGAAGTATTTAATTCAATTCTTTCTACATGCTGGATTCCAGAGGATTGGAAAAAAATTATAATTATTCCCATCTTGAAACCGAATAAAGATCCATTGTCGATAGAATCCTACCGACCTATCTCTTTATTATCATGCTTGAACAAGACATTTGAAGCCATCGTCAAGAATAGACTGAGTGGTATTTAGAAGACAAGTCTCTTTTCATTTATAACCAATTTGGCTTTAGAAGAGGTCAAGGCACAAGTGACATTTTAAGTACCTTATCTAATGACATTCACATATCCAATTCAAATAATAAATACCTGCTATTGTTAGCGACGGATATACACAAGGCTTACGATAATGTTGATCATAGCATTTTACTTAACAGACTTAAGAAGTTGAATATTCCCCATAATATTATAAAAGTGATAATTTTTTTACTAACGAATAGGTCGCTATATGTAAAATACAAAAATAAATTAATAGGTCCCAGAGTAGCTCTAAGAGGCTTACCACAAGGATCGATTTTGAGTCCATTATTATTTAATATTTACATGTCGGATTTTTCTGCAGGAACCCAAGACGATGTTAGGAAACTACAATATGCTGATGATTTATTTTTGTATATTTCTTGCAACTCGCTTGAGGAATGCATTCACAAAATGAAGCGGTCGATCACAGGTGTTTCAGAATGGATGAGGTCCAGCCACCTAAACCTTTCCTTGATCAAAACAAAGGGCATCCTGTTCACTAGGCACAGAAAATTCCTTTACCCTCAAGAAATCAATATGGAAAATTGGAACTGTAAGATATACGATAGTCTGAAAATTTTAGGGGTTATCTTTGATAAAAAGATGATCTTCCGGGCGCACGTTGAAGAGGTGGTCAAAAAATGTGAAGTAGGTAAGAACATCATTAGAAGATTGGTTGGAACTGACTGGGGAGCCCACCCAAGTTCATGTTTGGCTATCTACAAATCCATAATTAGATCTCATATTGATTACGGATACATCATTTACGGAGGAATCTCAACTAATATACAAGGAATGTTAGATAAGGCTCAACTCTCGGCTTTAAGATTGTGTTTGGGAACTATAAGGTCAACGCCTCGCATTGCCGTTTTAGCGGAAGCCGGAGAAGCTCCATTAAATATTAGGAAACAAATATTAACCAATAGATTTTTAATTAAAAAATTCAACTCGGATTCAGCTCGAATCCCGAAGCAATTGGAAGATTTAGCTGTTCTGCATTTTAGAGCAAACTATTGGAAAAACAGACCTACACCTTTATTAATAACTGGATTTTATAATTTGAAACCTTTAGAAGACCTAATAATTACAAATGACAAACTTCCGTATCATAGTCATTCTTGGCAATACTCATTTCCCAAGAAATATATAGGGTTGAATGATTTCAACTATACGACTCATAATTCCAACAAAAATATAATAAACGGGGAGTTTGACAATTGGTTACACACGGAATGGAAAGATTTTACGGTTATCTACACTGACGGTTCCAAGTTAGGAAATAAAGTTGGATGTGTTGTGTATGTACCTAATAGAGAGAAACATTTACAATTTAATTTACCGGATTTTGCCTCAGTCTTTTCGGCAGAACTTACAGGTATTAATGCTGCCTTAGACTTCGTTATACAAGAAAAGATTCCAAAAACTATAATCCTAACTGACAGTAAATCTGCACTTCTGGCTCTAAACCATCCTAAACAAAATTGCAATTTTTTAATATTTGACACCGTCCACAAAATAGAAAGCATCCTAGCAAATAAATATGCGTTCAAATTAGTATGGATAAAAGGGCATTCCAACATTCGTGGAAACGAATATGTGGATGGACTTGCAAAAGAAGCCTGTTTATCAGTTTTTCCTTTAAGAAAGGTTCCTGCGACAGATCTTAAAAGCTGGGTAAGAAAACAAGGTTTAAGGTTATGGCAAAATGAATATGATATGGAAGACAGAAAAGGAATCTTATTTAAATCTTGCAAACCAAAAGTGTCTTTCAGTACATGGTTTGCCAAATCCAGGCTGAACAGAAATGAAATAACCGTTATCAATCGTATTAGAGCTGCGCACACATTTTGCAAATCTCATCTTTTTAGAATAGGTATGGCAGAAGATCCCTTCTGTTCTTGCGGTTTGGAAATCCGCAATCTCGACCACATCTTCTGGAAGTGCAAACTCAGAGCTAGTCAAAGAACATCCTTACTACAAGAACTGTATAAATATAATTTCATTTTTCCTATTAATACCACAATAGTCTTTTCCACTAATGATGAAAATATATATAAAATTTTTGTTTATTTTTTACAAAAATGTAACATTAAAATATAGTTATTTAGTATTAGTTCTTAAGATTTTATGAATTAAGTCACAATCTTATGTAGAAATCAATTTGTAAAATATGTATTTTTCTCTGTAATTTATAAATTTGTAAAATATTATTTTGTAATAAGAGGCTAAATGACCACACGGTCAAATGCCATAAATATAAATAAAAAAAAATAAAAAGAATTGTTCAACAACAATATTTGAAAGTAGAAAGAAAAAAATGTATAACCAGCTATCACCTTGATTCTTACGACTTTGCTATCGGGAGATATACGGTATTCTTTGAAAGTTTTTTGGTTTGTGAGCACCGTGGTTTAATTTACGAGACCTTAATATAATTTTTACTCTATACGTTATTTAATTCTTTTATGAAATGTTTTGTTAATTTTAAGTTAAATTCAACCGTTTTTTTGTATAACCACTTTAAAAGCTGACACCTGGGTAGTCTAAGAAGAACCAACTGAGCATTAACCCTGGCAAAGACGTAAAAAATAAAAAATAGCAAATAAAAAAGCAAATTAAGTTAAATACAACAATTTTATAAAAGATAAATTACGTAAATAGATATTTTAACTCTTCTGATGAATATTTCTGACAAACTACCAGATGAAGTTTATTTACAGTGTTATTTGTATAAAAATGCACCAATGAAACTTTTATTTTGCATTAGTTGAATAATGTAGTTATTTTTATGTAAAATACCTTTAACATTAAAATAAGAAATTGAATCTGTTTGCTATCTGGCCGTTCCAAGTTACCCCGCTTATGGGGTAAAAGAACTAAATAACAAAAAACACATTTCTACAATGATGAAGTAGCTGACAGTTTTACTGAACATAGTCAGATAATTGTTCGTTTGATATGCGTTATTTGTTGTGATACAATTGGTTTGGTTTTCATAATATAATTTATATTTGCTCAAAGTGAAATTGTACCTTTGTGTACCGCCCAACCCTACATATACAATTTTTATTAAATTTACTTTAATTCATGGAATGTTACTTAAAACTTTTCAAAAAGCAGGCCAAAAAAATACTTAATTCATTTTCTACCTCTCCTCGCAGAAATTTCAAAATTTTTGTATAAGCTCAGAAGTATTATTAACTTCCCGTAGGGTAAGTTATAGTAATCGCAAAAAAATCGAAAATGAAAATTTTTATATATCTTTACGTTTCAGAGGTTTCTGAACATTTTGGCATACCTTAGAAAAAATGGATGTATGTGTGTGTGTGTGTGTGTGTGTATGTGTGTGTGTATGTGTGTGTGTATGTGTGTGTGTATGTGTGTGTGTATGTATGTACGTGTGTGTATGTATGTGCGGATACAAATTTTCGTCGACGATTTCGGGAACACGGATCAACCGATTTGAATAATTCAAAAAACATTCGATTCGTATTGATAAGGAGACGTGCTGATTAGTTTTTGGCGAAGGCAGGTCTAGCCGTTCCGGAGATACGGGGCAAAAAGTGCCGAAAACGGTAACTCAGTTTCTAAGAGAACGGAGCGTCCGATTTTAATAATTCAAAAAACATTTTACTTGTATTGACAAGATAAAGAATTGATCAAATTTTCATAAAGGCAGGTCTAGCGGTTTCGGAGATCTAAGGAAAAAAGTAAAAAAAAATGCCATTTGGCGGTCAAAAATGATCATTAGACATATGCACATCGAATTTTCAGATATTTTATAGAGATTTTAACAATAAGTATAAATTTTGTTTATTTTTCTATGGGTTCCGTATCAATGTTTACCCGCTAGACAGCGACGCCGCGCTTACGCGCTTTATATTTTGTATCTATGCAGTTAAAGCAGTACGATTGCTTTGAAAAACAAGTTCAGATTTTCCAAAATATGTCAAAATGAAGAAAACATTTTTTTTTTTTCAAAAAAAAATTTTTTTTAAAAAATTTTTTCTAAAAAAAAATTTTTTAAAAAAAATTTTTTTCAAAAAAAAGTAATTTTTTGTCCAATTTATAGTTTCTCAAAAATCTTATTTTTTCGAAGTAAATTTTTTTCAAAAATGTTAATCGTTTTTACAAAAAATAATAATTTTTGGTACGGGAAGTTCCAGCAATTTGCCTTAAGGCACGATGCCCTAATTGCCTTAAGACAGAATTCCACTTACAGCTAGTTTAATTATGTATCTGAAAAACTTGAAATGTAATCAGTATTTGATTAGTTGGAGTTATATAAGTCGGAAAACCAAAAAAGACATGGATTGGACTATACCATGTTTTCCATAGAAAGTGTATAAAACTTTCGGTAATATACATCCATATCATTGGGTTGTTTACAAAATTCTACCCGCAGGTATATTACTTACATACATGCAATATGAAATAGGTAAGAATATAATATATACAATAGATTTGTTTATGAACAAAAAAGAAATTTTTTTGACAATTTCCAAAAAAGTACACACCTCAGTAAATAAGAAATAATGAAAACAATTACAATAATTCCATAAAAAATGCTATATGTAAAAAAATGTTATGTCTATAAGGTGTAGTTTGGCATGGCGTTGTTTGTTGTATATATATATATATATATATATAATATATATATATATATATATATATATATATTTAATTTGAGTTTAAAAGTCGGGCGTTACATCAATAAAAATAGTATGAGAGTTTTTAGAAATTTATTTAAAAATCATACGTTTCGGCTAGCATCTTGGCAGTCATTATAACTATAAAAATTATAACTAAATAAATAATATGTAAGAAATTTCACAGAAAAACAATTATAATAATAATAAAAAAACACTTACAATTTTGTATCTAACATAACAGATGAAAACATGATTACTCCATGGCATGAGTATGTGCACAGTGGTAATATATATTGAAGAAACTATGTTTGTTATGCAATTGCAAAAACAACCCCTGAGCGAATCTTTTTTTAATTCACAATGTTCTCTTCATAATGTAAAATTTTTGGGTTGAAAAAATATATATTATAATGTAAATTATTTATATGCTCGGTTAACATGGCTCTGAATTGTTTGGGATTTTTTAAGTTATTTTTATATTGATGAAGGCTCAGGTTACTCTAAGATCCTAGCCAAAACATATGGATTTTAAATAAATTTCTAAAAACTCTCATACTTTTTTTTATTTTTAAATATATTATATCAACATCAAATTCAAGGCTATTCAAATATATATGTATATATATATATATTATATATATATATATATATATATATATTATATATATATATATATATATATATATATATATATATATATATGATGCCACATACATCCTCATAAGATATGAAACTGGAATTTACTGTCAGAATTTAATCACCATATAAAATAGACTAAAGCATTTTTATATTATCACATTAAATCACTACCATTCATTATTACCATTGTGAGAAATAAAAAAATTGGCAGATGCAATCTTTTACACATTCCGGCATTCATTCACTTCACAGCACACATGAAACTGTTACAAAAACATGAAATAGGTTTTTATATTTGATATGACGTAAAGTTATTAAATTTGTTTCGTATTTACATAAATCAAACATTGCTAATGGGGAGTAGATTACATATATATTTAATATTACTACGTGCTTACTACCAATTATTTCCAGATATAATATACCGATTATTATTCTTGTTTATTTTAAATCGAGGCAATAAAATTATTAGCTTAATAATACAAGGAATTTAGTCGAGAACTAGCTGAGTAATATTTTTTGTTTATTCACAGAGTCGGATTTATGTAAAATATATTATAAAATAAATATTTATATAATCTTATAACGGAACACAAAATTAAATAATTTTTATATGAAACTCTAATCAATGTAACGGCAATTATATAATAAAAATTATAACATACAAAATATTTTCACAAAATAGTGATTCTTAATCCATTAAACCGATCAAATCAGATTTGGGTATTGATGGATAGTAAACATTAATTAATTTTTTATTTCGATAATTTTGCTGCTATATTAATCAAAAATGTTTCAACGTCAAAAAACAATCAACACACACACTCACCAATAAAAAGTGGTTAGGACCGCCTAAATCTTGAAACTGGTATGGTGTAAACAATAAAAAAAATAGTTAAAATAAAGTTAGCTAAAAAAAGCAATTTTACAAGTAATAAAGTAAATTAATATTTATTCCAAATTTGGTCCTTGCCAAGGTTGTATGCAGTGCTATCTTTGTAAAAAATAAGTCCTAAAACTTTATAATAATTCATATTTATCCAGCTTTTTCATACTTATCTACTATAACATAACCGATATACATTCAAGTGGGCAAAAGTCTATGAAAACGGTCTTAATAAAACTTTGATTAAAAAACAGAACTTTTATTAGATATGTAAATTGCCGAACTAGTAATTATAACAAGTTAAAGACTTTTAACCACTTCTATACGAGCGACAAGTTTATTTGACACCTGCAGATGACCCCACATAGCCGAGCGTCGTTATTACTTGACGGCCATGATACAAAAGTATACGGCCGAGCGTCAGAGATAGTATTTCTAAGTGTCATAAGGGTTTTTTTTATAATTTTATTTGAACAGCAATCAGAACTAATGGGTTCTATGAGCTGTTGTGAGTAAGATCTTACAAACTACGTTTGTTTTATTACAGATGGCAACCCAAACAGTTGTCACATCTCTGTATGATAAATTTTTATTACAATCTCTGTAATAGGGCAAGTATGGTGCAACAATGCCGGGTGAGGGCTATTTTCACTTGGAAACATATTGCTATCTGTATTTCCAAGTGAAAATCGTTGTCAATGTTGCCTGACAACAGGCTGCTCGAAGTGGGTATCGAACCCGGGACTTCTGAAACAAGTCCCGTCGCTCTTAACCGCTTACCTACGAGCGAGCCAATCATAAGGGGTAAGTTTATGAACGAGGCATCGTACGGGTGATGCATGCCCGCTGCAAGCGACGTTTC